GCGCCATCACTTTCGACCCTCGTAACTTGGAGTACCTTCAAGACCAAGTTCTCCAATTTCCTCAAAGGCCCTTATTTCCAAGACGCCGTTTGAGATCTTCACCGGGAAGGCATATTCAGCGCAGACAGAGATAAGTGGCAGCGCCAAAGGAATACGGCTGGCTTTGAGTTCCACTCAGCCAAGTTCCAGAAACTGACAGTGGATTCATTGTTTGAGCTGGTTCACGCTCGGCCGTTACCTGTTTTAGAGGACTCCATCAAACACTTGGCCCCAATAGACCTCCTAGACGTTCTTATGAGCAGTGGCGAAGCCAGGATTTCTCGGGGGGAGGGGCGAACTTAAAAGAATGCAAGGTTAAAGAAAAATGGCAACAACTAAATCTTTTTATATAGTAATGTCTTCCATAATTAATCAATACAAACAAATTACAATTGTTGCCGGCGAGGTTTCATGTCATGAAAACGTCGCATAATAGGCTCACAATCTTCATAGCAGAAAAAGCTCTCTCCACCGAAGCGGTTGCAACCGGTAACACCAAAGCCAATGTAAGAAGTTTATACACTAACATATAACTTTCAGACCTCCCGGTCTTCACTAACTCTTGTGCAAGATCACTAATTCCTCTCAATGATGAAAACTCACTATGCATCTTCATATCATGAATGTAATTGTCAAGTTGAATTGGAAGATTCATGAGGTCCATACGATCAAAATCTTGAGAATAAAGTTTGGCTAAACGAACAATTTTTGCTTTATCAAAAGATGCAAAATTATTCACCGGACTCAAACAAGCCATACAAAGAAGTAACTCGGTGTTTACCTCATTGAAGCGATCATTCAACTCCTTTAGTTGCATATCAAGGACTTGAAAATAGAGGTCCACAATCTCTCAATGGCATCTTCAAGCGAGCTACTAGTTGTAGAGGAGACATGTTGAACACCCAAAAACTTTTCAATTGCTTCTCCTTTTTTATTCACATAACGCAATATCACCGTCATTTGCTCTTTAGTTGAAGAATCACGTGCTCCATCAATCAAAAGAGAAAAAAATGCACCTTCCATATCTTTAGTGATTGCACCTACAGTTTCAATGACACAAGCACGGACAAGATCTTTTTGAATATCGGAAGAAGTATACTTAAGATTCTTGGGAGCATTCTCAAACACAACCTTCCTAACTTGTTCATTATGCTTGGAAAGAAATTGCATAAGCTCTAAATAATTGCCCCTATTGCTTGATTTCAACGATTCATCATGGCCACGAAAAGGTAAACCTTGTCCCAACAACCATCTTGTGCACTCAAGTGAGGCACTCAATAAAGTACGATAATTAATGTGAGCTTCATCGGTTTGCTTAATCACAAATGTTTCAATGTGTTGTTTTTGTGTCATCAAATCTCTAGCTTGTTGTATAGCTTTATTATGAAGACTTCCAACACCTCCCTCATGGACTCGAAGATTTTTGGGTCATTTCTTCCAATTTGTAAACCCTATCTCAGTGAAGACATCACTTCTAGTGCTAACCCATTTGATCAAAATCACATTTGAAAAGATAACAATAACGGCAAAATGCAGCATTTTGTTGATATACTATACTCCAACCACTTAAACTTATCAAACCAACCAATGATAAAACATCGATTGTCACTAACCTTTCTTGGCATGATGTGGTCTCTAGGTTGACAATGATCATTTTGGAGATAGTGTCTACGAATTGCTTCACGATAATTAGGTGGATAATCAAGCATTCGACGTCTATGTGCAGGGTCTGCAGGAAGATTAGCCAATATTTCATCCAACTCAGTGGCCTCACTTTGTTGTGACCTACTTGGAATATTTGAAGGAGGACTTCTTGGAATATTTGAAGGAGGAGGAGGACTACTCGGAATATTTGAAGGAGGAGGACTACCCAAAATGTTTGAAGGAGGATTTAAGCATTGTTTCTTATAGTATCGTTCCATTACGTAACTGTAAAATGAAAAGAAATAAAAATTCTTAGACTCTATGAATACAACTAAGCAATTCAACTAATCATATTCATATGAATACAACTAAGTAATTTAACTAATCATATTCATATGAATACAACTAAGCAATTCAACTAATCATCCATCAAGATTCAAAGAATTCAAATTTTAATTTTCATCCTAAAAAATAATTTCATAATTTCATTCAAAATGTGGCTTATTACCAATAAGTTTAGTTAAAGATGACTTTTGACATGCCAATTTATCTATATGTACAATTATACATACACATGATTCTTCTAATTCCCAACAATTCGTATCAATAATTTCACCCTAAAAAATAATTTCATAATTTGTATTAAATAACCATGACATGAATAATCAATAACTTATAACCATATCATTTTATTCACATAATAAAGGTAGGGATTATGCATTTAAGAATTAAAAAATTTACCTTTAAATAGTGATTGGAGCCGGCTCAATCTCAGAGGAGAGGAGAGTGGCTCACTGGCTTGTGGAACAGAAATTAAAGAGGACTTTGTGGCTTTGGCTTGGCTGCTGGAGTTTGAGGAGCAAATTTGGCTGAGATGGATATGGTGGCCCGCTGTGTGTGTTGATAATTGATGAAGAAGAAGACAGAAGAAAAGGATAGAAAAGAGTAAAGGCTGATAATTGATGAAGAAGAAGACAAAAGAAAAGGATAGAAAAGAGTAAAGGCAGTGTGGATGGGGTGTGTGTGTGTGGGGGGGGGGGTACAGACAGAAAAATTAAATCTAGGGTTTCATTGGGGTGACACGCGGAAGCGGTCCCCCATCCCATTATAATATATTTTTTTTAAATTCAACATCAAAACGGCGCCATTTTGATTTAGTTTTTTAAATTTTTTTATACCAGGTCCAAAACAACGTCGTTTTGGCTTGGTTTTTAAAAAAAAAAAAATTATAATGCAATCTGCAGTGCAGATTGCCCAGAAAACCCAGAAAAACAGAGGGCTCTGCCTCTGCTGCGTGAACCATTCTTTTCCGGCGAGGCGCGCGAGGGGAGTGGCGAAGACCCGGGGTCCAGTGGTATTTCCCGGCGAGGGGAGTGGCGGCCGCCACTCCTCGCTCCCACGTGGCTTCGCCACTGCTTATAAGGTTGACTTTTGACAACGTTTGCATGATCACATTTGGGGTCGATCCCGGTTGCTTGCAGCCAGGTTTACCCAAAATACCATTTGCTCAGGCTTTTGAGGAGGCGACAGAAGGAACGTTGATACGCTTTTGTGGCCCCATGTGCGTGTGGGAGGCCATGACCTACTTCAAATTGGGCGCAGAGAGGAAGCTTCAGATGTCCATAATATAGAAGTGGATAAATTCGCAGACAATGTCATCCGGTCATTAAAGAAAGAGAGCCAACGCCAAGCTTTTCGAAGGCCAAGTGATCTTGGTCGTTATTCAAACACTGGAGTCAACGCTAATTTTTTTGAAGGCTCAATTATTCAGTCAATATCTTTAATGGAGCTAGCGCAGCTTTTCGAAAGTCTGACTTAAAGAAGCAGATTCGAGCCCAGAATAGGCTCAACTTATGTCGAAAAAATAGTTTGCTCTAATACCATGATGAACCTTTTTAGTCTTTGCCATGTTCTATCATCAACATTGCCAATATTGTCCCAACTATTAGGGATGAAATCTCCAATATATAAGTTGTATATTATTTTGCCATATGTCCAATGTGAGCTTCTATTGTCCATCACTTGGTACCAATAATCTAGTGTGACATTCTTCTTCACTAGTAATTGAGAGGTTTTATATTCTATTCTTGTAAATAACGAGTTCAATATTAATTATTAACATAAAATAAAATGAAATTTAACTCGCAAGGTTCTTTTCTTGTTCATGAGAAAAAAAAATTAAAATATTATAAGTGTAGCAACTAGTTGTGCAAGTTGGAATGGTGTTTCTGATTCTAATAGTAATAGTAAAGTTTTCAAATCCGAACTAAAAAATTTCGAATTCGAAAAGTTTTGAAAAATTGTTATGAAAATTGGAATGCATTTGGAGATTCCAAAAATTTTGAATTTATTACGATATTTTTTTTAACATAGTATTTTATTATTAGTTTTGGATACCTTATGTTCATTGTAACAATTTAAACATATATATATATATATATATATATATATATATATATATATATATATATCAGGCCCTTTAACAAGAGTGACCCTCATTTTTCTAAAAAAATGGGGACACCCTTTTAACCATTGGATTGACTTTAATGAAACTGTGTGGTTGTGATTAAATCACAGGCCATACAATCTCAACCACACAATTTCATTAAAGTCAAATTCAACGGTCAAGAGGGTGTCCCCATTTTTTTAGAAAAATAAGGATCCCTCTTGTTAAAGGATTCCTACATATATATATATATATATATATATATATATATATTAAATAGGATGAGCACACTAGTATACCAAATTTATTTAATTTTTTGAACAAACGATATTATCTACACTAATGGAATGAGATGGGCTCATACTTTTAATGGACTAGCAATAATATGGTTCAAATTCGCCTTTAGCGATAATTGAAACTAAGATTTCTTATTTATAAAGGGAATACCACTATGCAGTGGTAAAAATTGTTTGTACCAAAAAGTTAATTGAATTTACATATAAGTATATACTAAGTATTAAAAATAATAATAAATTGTATGTAACAAAAAAGTTCGAGAGTATTAAAAAACCCATAAAATGTATGAATTTTCAAATTACATTTTAAAATCATCGAGACTACTTCGATACAGAAGATTCTTAAAATATCAATTTAAAAAATTGTGATTCGACCTGAATTAATTTCGAAATTTCAAAATAAAAGTTTAAAATATTCCTACCCAAGGGTCCCGTTCAAAAAAAAAAAGGACTACCCAAAGGTCAAGGGCACGCTTACAAGAAAATGTAATTAAGGGACGCGCGGCAAAATAATAGGAGGACACGTGGCCCCACGCTTTCACCCCGCCGAGTCAAGTCAACATTTGAAAAACAAAAAGCTTTGCAACAGCGCTGAGTTATTCTTCATTCTCTGAGAAATTCGGAATCCATTTTCTTCTCAATCTTTCAACTTCCCATCCATCGGAAGATTGAAATCCATGGCGATGGAAGTTGTGGGCGGCGCTCTTCTCTCTTCCTTTCTCTCCGTCTTGTTTGGTAGGCTGGCCTCCCGTCCCGTCGTCGACTTCATCCGCGGACAGAAGATCAACAGCGGACTGCTCAAGAAGTTGAGGATTAAGCTGCTTTCAGTTAATTCTGTGCTCGATGACGCGGAGGAGAAGAAATTCAACAACCCAGCTGTGAGGGAGTGGCTCGACGAACTTAAAGATGCTCTGTATGCTGCAGACGACCTGCTGGATGTGATCAAGACTGAAGCTCTGCGGCGAAAGCTCGAAGGCGATGAATCCGAAAGCAGCAGCAGCAGAAAAAGTCAGGTACCCATCTCCAGTTCCACTTGGATTGATGAATTTGACAAAACAATGGAACCCAAGATTGTAGAAATGCTTGAGAGGTTAGAATTTATTGTAAATGAGAAAGATGTGCTTGGTTTGAACGAGGGTGTTCCGAATCGGCGACCACAATCAAGATTATCTTCCACCTCTTTGGTGGAAGAGGACGGTGTGTACGGTAGGGATGAGGACAAGGAGACCATTGTGAAGCTATTGCTATCCGATGATGCGAATGGCAATAAGTTGAGTGTGATTCTGGTTGTGGGAATGGGTGGCATCGGAAAGACCACCCTTGCGCAGCTCGTATACAACGATGCTAGAGTGAAGCAACATTTTGACTTGCAAGCATGGGTTTATGTTTCAGAAGAATTTGATGTTGTTAGAATAACCCAAATCATTTATGGGTCAGTCATTTCACAAACTTGTTGTATTACGGACTTGAATCTACTTCAAGTTAAACTCAAGGAGTCTTTGACGGGAAAGAAATGTTTCTTTGTTCATGATGATGTATGGAACGAGAATAGCTGAAAATCAAAGAAAAAGCTGCTATTTGCTTCTTTGAAAAAAAACCAGTTTTTTCAAAGCACACGGAATCCTTTAATGAAAAGACACACTATCATCCTGCTTTTTTTTCCAAAAGCACTTTCACAAAAAAGTTTACCAAACACTCTACTGGCTTTATTTCACAGCCGCTTATTCTCACAGCACAGCCGCTTATTTTCACAGCAGTTTTTTTTCAAAGAACAGCAATACCAAACCAGCCAGGTCTTCCTTTAGCTGCAAAGTCTCTTGGGGGTTTGTTGCGCTGTAAACAAAGTTACGAGGAGTGGGATGAAATATTGAAGAGTGAAATATGGGACTTGCAAGATGAGTATACCATTCTTCCAGCTTTGAGATTAAGTTATCATCATCTTCCTTCTCATCTAAAACGATGTTTTTCCTATTGTTCGATTTTCCCCAAAGGTTACAAATTTGGAAAATCAGAATTAGTTTTGTTGTGGATGGCTGAAGGTTTTTTGTCACCCCAAAGAAAGAAAATGATGGAAGACGTTGGAGTGGAGTACTTTGATGATTTAATATCGAGGTCATTTTTTCAGCATTCAGATGATGAGTCTGATGACCAATCACTTTTTACCATGCACAACCTTATCAATGATTTAGCAAAGTTAGTATCAAGAGAATTTTGTTTTAGGTTGGATGATAGTGACTCATTCAATAATGTTTCAAGAAAGACTCGTCATCTCTCATACACTCTGAATAACATCTTCGAAAGACTTGGTGTAGGTGTTCATGCGACTGCAAAGGAGGAGATTTCTGGTTTTGATTAATTTGAAGCTTTATTCGAAGCCAAGTATTTGCGCACCTTCCTAGCAATAAAACCTGGACCATTATGGAATATTTTCAGTTTCAACAAGGTACCTCATGATCTCTTACGAACACTGTATTGTTTGAGAGTGCTCTCTTTATCTCATTGTAACAACAAGGAGTTGCCTTATTGGATTGGCAATTTGAAACACCTAAGGTATATAGACTTGTCATACAGTAGATTTGAAAAGTTACCTGAAACGATATGTACTTTGCATAATCTACAAATGTTGCTCTTGTTCAATTGTTATGAACTTGCTCAGTTGCCGATCAACTTGGGGAGACTCATCAACTTGCGCCATCTTGATGTTAGAAGCACTAATCTAAAAGAGATGCCACCACATATGGATAAGTTGAAGGATCTCCACACATTGAGTGACTTTGTTGTTGGCAAACAAACTGCACCTAGCATTGTAGTGTTGAAAGAGCTTCAGATAGTAGGTACACTTGCTATTTCAGGGCTTCATAATATTGTGAATTCTGAGGATGCTTTTGTTGCCAATATGAGAAATAAGCACCTTGACGGACTAGCTTTGACATGGGGAGCTGAGACCGATGATTCACAAAAAGATAGAGAGGTGCTTAATAATCTCCAGCCTCATACACACCTGAAAGCCCTCAGTCTTAAGTTTTATGGGGGTACAAGATTTCCGGATTGGTTAGGAGATCATTCTTTTTCTAATTTGGTTTCTCTTCGACTCGAAGATTGTAAACATTGTTGCGCCTTGCCACCACTGGGGCAGCTACCCTCGTCACGCTTTATGTTTGTGGGTTAAATGAAGTGGAGACCATAGGGCCTGAGTTTTATGGTAATGGTGTTTCTGTTGTTATGCCATTTAGATCTCTATCAGTTTTATTCTTCAAAGATATGTTGGGATGGCAAGAGTGGTCTCATTTCGGAAGTAGCCAAGAAGGTGGAGCTTTTCCTCATCTTTGTCAGCTCTATCTGACAAATTGTCCCAAGCTAACAGAGAAATTACCTGAGTATCTTCCATCCTTGACTACACTTGAGATAAGGAGATGCGAGCAACTTCTGGGTTCACTTCCAAGAACTCGGGCCATTTTGGAGATTCCTTCTGTGAAAGACAACCTTTGTCTTGAAGAGAAAACTAGCGGAACTAACTCATCTCTTACTCCATTTCCTTGTGACGGTCTGGCTGATGCTTTAAGAGTTCTTAAAATAAAAAATTGTTGGAACTTATTGATAGGTGCATTATTTATCACATTTTCAGGTTAATTCTCCCTAAGTTTTGTTATGGAATTGATTATAAAAGAGCCTTATTACTTTCCTTTTCTCTGTTTCTGTCAATCTGCGCATGCAGGACATTTTTTATGATAATTTGACTTTTCGGAGGAGTTTTGATGCAAGGACAATTGGAGAAGGAAGCTAAGAGATGGAAGATCATTGTGTCCAAATTTCGTAATTTTTCATGGAGTCAAACATTCCAGTTTTACAAATCAATCCCGCAGAAGTCACTGTCCCGTCAGAACTGCGCAGTTGTGGGAGAATGAAGATTTGGAGGCTTTCCCGATTTTTGCTAGTGATGTGGGATATATGCCTGGAAAGATAAGAGATAAAGCTACGTTTTCCATATTTTTACAGATTTTTCCAGAAGATAAATCGGCCCCAAATCTGGCGTGCAAGTCAGATGCCGTATTTCCCAAGTCCAGAAGGATTCTTTCCTAGTTTGTTTCATTAATTACTTAGGAGTCTGTTTTCTTTTAGGATAGTTGTTATCAGACTTTTGAGGGTTTTATGGGAGGATATAAAGAGGGCCCGAGGGTGTCCCAAGTGGAGGGGGGAAAAACGAAATACACAAGGAAGATTCGTCCAAAGTGAAGACAGGCTGTTGAGTGTGTTCTTACCATTCTTTTCCGGATTTTATTTTGTTTCTATGATTTCTTATGTGATTATTATTATGACTATGTGTAACTAAACTCTTCTTCTAAGGTTTATGAAGAAGCCATGACATGATTATTCCCAAAGTATCTTGTTGATTATTATCTGATTACATGCCATGTTTAGTTTTTAATCTTTGTGCTTAATCTATTCTAGATTTACATGTTCTTGTGATTGGCCATCATTGTGAACTTGTTTCTAGATAATTAGATAAATCTGAGAGGATGACCAATATCAATTAGGTTTATTGGAACTAAGATTAGGAAGAGTAGACAAACTAGTGAGGATAACCAATATCAAACTAGTCCTGCTTGGTTGACATAATTCTTCTGTGCTTAATGGGTTTGTATGTGTTTAACTGTATGCCTAACCAATAGGATATAGTTTTCATGTATAGGCACACGAGTTGATGCCTGACCAAGGATTAATTCATATCTTAGAAAGAACAACCTTAAATATTGGCATGGTAATTGGATAGTAATTGGCTTGAAGAAAGGGAATAGGATTGTTATTGGTGGATTCATAACCTTAGGCTTTCATCACATTAATTTCTTTTAAACTTTCTTTTGTTGCGTGTTTTCGTTATTCACATTCTTAGTCTAATTTGAAGTAAAGTTTCAATTATTTTTCATAATCAATTAATCAATCATTCGTTCCTTAGTTAAGTTAAGTTTCGCGTAATCAACTGGTTGAATTGGCATTAAAGGCAATCTCTGTGGGATCGACCTCGTATTTGCGTTTATTTCTACAATTGATTCGTGCGCTTGCGAGTTTAATTTGGTTTAAATTAATCTATTATTTAGGTTAGTTTAAATTTACATCACTTATCTCCACTAAATCACTGCTATGCATTCCTTCAAACATTGAAGATAAAGAGTAGCTGTGATTCAACCAAGTCTATCCCGCTGGACTACTTCCCAAGGGTTAAAGAGCTCAAATTATATAACTGTAGGAATCTGGAATCCTTTACTTATTCCCAGGATTCTGAAAGCCCTATAATCCTGTCCCTCAGTTCCTTGAGAATATTTAATTGCCCAAATTTTGTATCTTTTCCCGATGGAGGACTGTATGCCCCCAACTTGATTGTGCTTAATATATCTGAATCCTATAAATTGAGGTCATTGCCAGAACATATGTGCACCAGTCTCTCATCTCTTCAGGCTGTAATCCTAGAGTATTGTTCTGAACTAGAGTCATTTCCTGAAGGGGGGCTGCCTTCAAATTTGGATATGCTGCGTATCTTTGGATCCAAAAAACTCATTGCCAACCGCATGCACTGGGGTCTGGATAGGCTCATCTGTCTCAGATACTTGGCTTTCAGCTTTGACGAATGTGAAGACGTTGTATCATTTCCGGAGGAGGGGCTTCTGCCTACCATTTTGACTACTCTCTGCATCTTCAATAGTCCAAATCTTAAGATCCTGGACTCTAAGGGTTTTCAAAACCTCACCGCTCTTCAACATTTGTTCATTGATGGGTGTAATGAGCTTGAATGCTTGCCAGAAGGCCTTCCCACTTCTCTTTCTCATTTGGATATCAATAAATGTCCTTTGCTGACACAAAGGTGCCAGAATGAGATAGGGGAAGATTGGCCAAAGATTTCTCACATCACTCGTGTAACCGTTGATGGGCTCGATTAAATAAACTGATCGACTCTCTCTCAGGTACTTCTTGCACTAATATGATTTTTGAAGTTTATGAATGGTTCAATATTAGTAGGGAATCTGAAAATTGTTAGTTCTGGTCACTTATTCACTTTCAACTATTTATGCAATCTATAACTACCTGATGTTTAATTTCTAGTGGATTTAACTTCATCTTTCAGTCCATTAATGCTATGTTCCTGTCAACTACTTCCTCATTTTTAGGTGTGAGTTGTTCCTTCGCATATTAATTTGTCACTTGTTTATGTTCCTTTACGTATCAATCCAAATTTAAAATTATTTATGTTGTTGCTTTGCTTGAAATTCAATGACTATAACAGAACTGTATTCATTGTACATGAAACCTACAAATTGCGTATACCAAATTGTATAAGTTGATGGATCAATGGTAGTAATTTTTCTCCTAATCTTCGGATGCACTAACTATGACTCACCCCAGACAGGCCCGATTGGGGTTTCATTCTGAAGGTCTTTTTAATCTCTTTGTTTTCGTGTTTGTGCCACCTTTATAATTGATAGGTTCAGCTCTACCAAGTCCAGCCAAGGACTTCGGCTGGCATGATCCAGCCTTCATCTAGTTTCTCTTACCTATACGGAAGGTATGAATCGTTATGATGTAGTTCTAACCTTATAACTAATATTTGGTAAAAGAAAAAGAAGAAACAATGATCCAAAATATTTGATGAAGGAGAATGTGGTGTATGATGACAATGATCAATATATATACATATATATAATTTTGTATTAACAAAAGAGCCTTTCATCTTTTTTCAAATTCATGAACCAAAATGCAGCAATTCAGTTGGTTGGAGTGATCAAATCCAATTCCGAACTCCACCAGCAGGAGGATCTGATGAACTCAAATTTCTTGCATTTGGCGACATGGGAAAGGCTCCTCGTGATTCTTGGGCGATGCATTACATTCAGGTATGATGCATTAGTTTGTGCCAATTACTCAAATTTCTGGCACATGTTTGTACCTTGAAGGAAAAGTAAAGGCTAACAAGAATTTCAATCTTGTTGCATGAATGTACAGCCAGGATCTCTTTCAGTGATTCAAGCTGTGGCCGATGAAATAAATTCCGGGAATGTAGACTCTATCTTCCACATTGGAGACATTAGTTATGCGGCTATGCCACAGGATTTTTAGTTGAATGGAATCTTTTCCTACAACAAATCAGTCAAATCACTTCTCGAGTTTCGTACATGACAGCAATAGGAAACCATGAGAGGTATGCTCTTTTATTATTGTCAAACTCTCAATCCAGAGCACACATTCAAACAAACGAATAACTTTATATTTGAACAAGATGCTTGGCTACAAACATAACATCTAGCACTTGACAAAAACTATGATTTTCTTTTTTTTATAAATATATCATAACCTTTTGAATGTAAGGAGAGATGAAAAATGCTAACATAGCATTGCTTTAGGGTTTATGTGAGGAAAACGTTTAGCCAATAACTTGATAATCAGGAGGACTTCGGGAACAATGTTGTTACAGTTTGTAACTTCAGGGTTGATTTAGCCAATTTTTAAATGTCAATGACCAAACTGTTTCCCTATGTTTTGCTTTGCTTTGTGGGATTCATAACGTATATACATTATACGTACAATTTGCAGGGACTATATAGACACTGGATAAGTTTATATTTTACCAGATTCAGGTGGAGAATCTGGAGTTCCTTATGTGACTTACTTTCCTATGCCAACCTCAGCAAAGGATAAGCCATGGTATTCCATAGAACAAGCAAGTGTTCACATTACGGTGATTTCAACAGAGCATGACTGGTCCACAAATTCTGAGCAGGTAGATGAATCAGCACTTCTGCATTTGCTTAATCATATCATTAATTCAAGCAACTATACTCTCAGCTTATTCGATGCTTTTATTTTACGCACTATATATTACAGTATCAATGGATGAGAAAGGACATTGCTTCAGTTGATCGATCTAAAACTCCTTGGTTGATTTTTATGGGGTAAGTTAACTAAGAGACCTTAAAGTTTATGTTGTTTTCTAGTCTACTAATTGTAATGTACACATTTGAAAATCGAGTGTTCCAGTAATTAACTCTCTTTTTCACTCTTTTTATGTTGTAGTAAATATAATGCATGTTACTTTTTATACTGCAGGCATAGACCCATGTATTCCTCCTCACCTGGATTCCTCAATGTTGATAAAATATTTGTCAACGAAGTGGAACCATTACTGCTCGAGAGCAAAGTAACATCCCTTCCCTAGCTTGTTATTGGTGATATATTTCTGGCTAGTTAGTTCCATTCTGACATACATTGCTGTTGGAAATTTGAACTGTAGGTTGATTTAGTCCTATTTGGTCATGTCCATAACTACGAGCGAACTTGTGCGGTTTATAAGAGTGAATGCAAAGGATTGCCTCAAAAAGATGAAAATGGGATCGACACATATAATCATAGCAATTACAGTGCCCCAGTGCACACTGGAATTGGTATGGCTGGCTTTACCTTGGACGGGTTCTCAAGTGGTGTAAGTCACTCTCTCTCTCCCTCCCCCTCTCTCTCTCTCTCTCTCTCTCTCTCTCTCTCTCTCTCTCTACAGGCACACAGGATTTTTGTACCGTTCTTTACATGGAATTGGAATCTGATCAAACAGGTTAATAATCCTTGGAGTTTATCCAAGATTTCTGAATTTGGTTATCTAAGAGGATATGCTACAAAGAAAGAGATGAAATTAGAGGTCAGTAAATATGCAAAGTTTGAGACTGAAACTTTGAACAAATCTCACTGTGGCAGACTTGTATGTTCACTAAATTGCTTTCATGTTTCCAGCTTGTGAATGCAGATAAAAGAAAGGTTGAAGACAGATTCCGCATTACAAAATAGCAAGGTCATCTAATAGGAAGTTTTGTTAGAATTAATGCCTTCAATTAATGTGAACCAGTCTCAGTCAATACCGTCGACAACGGTTGATGCTTTAAATCATCCTTCACCTCCAGTACACTCAATGACGACTCAGTCCAAAGCTGCGGTCAAAAAGCCAAATCCTAAATATGCTTTGCATGTTCTTACTGACAAGAAAGTTTTTGAACCAACGTGTTTTAGCCAGGCAATAAAACACAAGGAATGGAGTATTAAAAATGGATTGAATATTTTCTATCCACACCTTCTACTGCAATAGCAGCAGATATTTATATACATCATATTACACACGCATGCAATAAAGAAATATATTGGAAGAGGCATCTTTGCTGTCCACAATGCTGCAGTCCATGTGAAGACCCTTGCTGTCCACGATGCACTGTGAGTGGAGCATCTTCGACAGAAGAAAATGGCTCCCATTAGAATAATCCATTAGAATAATCTTCTCATAATCTTTTCAACAGACTTCATCTAACAGCCCCCCGCAAGCTAACAGGGGGTGGTACAACTGGGAGCTTGGAGATAAGGAACTGAAATCTGGACGAAGACAATCCTTTAGTGAAAATGTCAGCAAGTTGGTCCTGGGAACACACATAATTGACCAACAACTGACCACGAACAACCTTCTCACGAACATAATGATAGTCAACCTCAAGATGCTTGGTTCTCGAATGAAAAACCGGATTGGACGCAAGGGCAATTGAAGAAACATTGTCACACCAAATGGTTGGTTGAACCAGATGGAGATGGAGATCTTTATAAAGAGACCTTAACCATGATAACTCTGCTGCAGTATAAGCTAACTGCCTATACTCTGCCTCTGCACTCGATACTGTCTTTTGCTTTTTTGAACTCTAGGATACAAGGTTGGAACCCAAATAAACACAGAAACCACCTGTGGAGTGACGAGTATCGGGGTTGCCAGCATAATCTGCATCAGAAAAAGCTGTCAACTTCGCAGTTCCTGGTTTATACAATAACCCATGATTATACGTAGCCTTCAGATACCGTAGGATTCTCTTTACAGCCATCCAGTGCGTTGTTTTTTTATAGTGCATGAACTGGCACACTTGATTCACAGCGTATGATAAATCAGGCCGAGTTATCGTAAGATACTGTAGTGCCCCAACAACACTACGATACATCTCTGGATTGGCAAAAGGATCTCCAGCATAGGCACTCAACTTCTGACCAGACGGCACTGGAGTGGAAATGGGCTTTGCGTCTGTGAATTTAGTTCGAGTCAGTAGGTCCAGAGCATATTTGGACTGACAGAGATGCATGAAATCACCATTATACTTGACCTCAATACCCAGGAAATAACTTAGTGGTCCCAAATCCTTCATTGAAAACAAACTACCAAGTTTCTTAATCAAATGATCCATCTGGCGAGGACTATTCCCTGTGAGGAGAATGTCATCGACATAGATTAAAAGAATGAGATATACACCCCGTTGATTAAACACAAACAAACTGTAATCACATGTGGACTCCTCAAAGCCCAGTTGAAGCAAGAAATCTGAGAAGCGTTGGAACCAAGCCCTAGGTGCTTGTTTTAAACCATAAATAGAACGTTGCAGCTTACAAACATGATTTGGAAACTGTTTGTCAATGAACCCTGATGGTTGCCGCATGTAAACATGTTCATTTAAGTAGCCATGCAAGAACGCATTTGATACATCCAGTTGGCGTACAGGCCACTTCTTTGACACAGCAAGACTTAAGACAAAACGAATGGTGCTGTGTTTAACCACAGGACTAAAAGTCTCAGTGTAATCCACGCCAGCCTTCTGATGAAAACCATTAGCCACTAACCGAGCTTTATGACGCTCAACAGTGCCATCTGCTTTGCGCTTAATTTTGAACACCCATTTATTTGGCAGTACGTTCATGTCAGATTGATGTGGAACTAAACTCCACGTGCCACACCTTTGTAATGCATTAAATTCTTGCACCATAGCTTCCCTCCACTCATGATGCTTGACTGCCTGACTGAAGCAAGTTGGTTCAACAGGAATATCTTTAATGGTAACATGCATAGCATACTTTGGATTGGGTTTGACAACTCCAGACT